CAGGTGCTATGGTTGCTTCTCTGCTCCCCAAAAGGATTAATGCCATCTGCGCTTAGACCAAACCATACGCTCCTTGCGTCATCTGCAAACTCCTTCCCGTACTTTCTTTCCATTTTTCTCCACTGCGACCCGTCAGCGGGCACTCTCAACTTTCTGTCTTTCTTACGGTCTTCTCTGTGCCATCACATCGCCTTGGCATGCTCTTTGTTTTGGAACAAACGTTTCAACCGTGGTATTATAGGAGAATACCACATCACCTTGGAAGGAATCTTCTTCCTGGGGCGCTCGCCCTCGACATCACCAGGCTCATCGCGGCTGATCTTATAGCGCAATGCACCACATACCGAGCAAGCGTTCAAATCCTCGTACTCACCGCGGTAGAGGATGCAATCATTAGGGCATGCATGTATCTTCTGCACCTCTAACCCTAGAGGGCAGACAACCTTCTTTGCTTCATACGTACTCTCGGGCAATTCATTGTCCTTTGGAAGCATATCCTTTATCATTACCAGCAACTTTTCAAATCCCTTGTCAGATACACCATTCTCTGCCTTCCATTGCAGCAATTCTAGTGTGGTGCCCAGCTTTTTCTTGTCACCTGCGCAATTCGGGTACAACAATTTTTTGTGATCCTCTAACATGCGCTGCAACTTCTTCTTCTCCAAATCACTTGCGCAGTTTCTCTTTGCATCGGCAATGGCCCGACCTAGATCATCAACGGGCTCATCTGATGCCTCTTCTTCAGCTTCTTCCCGCATTGCCGGCTCAGCTTCTTCCCGCATTACCGGATCAGCTTCTTCCCCCATTGTTGTATCATCGTATTCAGGGAACCCATGGCCAGGATAGCTGTCGTCGTCCTCTTCTTCTTCATTGTCTTCCATCATAACCCCTCTTTCTCCGTGCTTGGTCCAAACATTATAGTGGGGCATGAAACCGGACTCAAACAGGTGGACGTGAATGGTTCTTGACGTAGAGTAATTGCGACCATTCTTACAGCCAGCACATGGACAAGGCATAAAACCATCCGCCCGCTTGTTTGCCTCAGCCGCAAGCAGAAAAGTATGCACGCCCTCAACGAACTGGGGAGAGCATCGGTCATCGTACATCCATTGCCGGCTCATCTTCATTACACAACACCGAATAGACCAAATTAATACAAGTTCATACATAAAGTTCATACAACACTTAAATGCAACAAACAAATAACTCTCTAGCTAAAGCATTTAAATGCAACAACAAATGCGATCAAGATTGCAACTAAGGTAACAATTGATCCAACAGCATAATGATACCAAGCCTCACTATCGATGGCATATTTTCTAATCTTTCTATTCTTCAAGCGCATTTTCTCCATCTTGATCTTGTGATCATCGACGACATCGGCAACATGCAACTCCAATTCCATCTTCTCCCCCTCAATTCTTTTCGATTTTTCTTTCAAGTACTCGTTTTCTCTTTCAACTAAATTTAACCTCTCGACAATAGGGTCGGTTGGAATTTCTGGTTCACATACCTCCTAGATAAAAATATCTATGTCAACTTGATGGGCATAATTTGTCATAAACACGAAATGCAACAAATAGTTTTAAAAGAGAATATACCACATCCGAATCATAACAAGGACGAGGGCCGACGGGGACGGATATCAAAACCATGGCACTATGTATAACAAACAACGTACGGGTAAGATAATTATTACATGATTAACTATATATCCAAATCACACAAACATCAATTTTTTATATAAAATTTCATGAACAAGAGGCTCACCACAAGGTGGTGCCGGTGACGGGACGGTGCGGGCGATCGACGGTGGTTACGACGGAGATTTAGAAGGCACTAAGTAAACCACACCTACATATGCAAACTAAGTGTTATTTTTGACCTCAAATTGCATATAAATCAAATACTAGCACATATATATATATTTCCTCCCAAATTACTAAACTCACAAATTAGTAACTATACAAAGCATGGGAAGAGCTAATCTAGCAATGAGAGATGAAAGGACAAAGTTGCTAACCTTTGTGATCACTTGAATGGATGGGGGCCTTCAAATCTTGACAAATTTTGGGCAAAATGTGTGATGAGCTCGAGGGGAGAAGAGAAAGAACAGAGAGGAGGGGAGAGGGGAAAGGGGGAAGAACAGAGCGAGCTGGACGAAGGGTTTATATGCAGGAGGACCTATAGTACCGGTTCGTGGCACGAACCGGTACTAAAGGTGCTGGAGGGGGCCCAGACTGACAACATCCTGCCACCACCCTCATTAGTACCGGTTCGTGGCACGAACCGGTGCTAAAGGTTAGCCACGAACCGGTACTAATGAGAGCAGCCCGGCTAGCCGTTGGAACCGGCACTAATGTATACATAAGTGCCGGCTCTAATACAAACCGGCACTAATGTGTTGCACGTTTAACCCTTTTTCTACTAGTGACTGTCCAAAGTAACAAGAAGAGGAAAATGAGTGACATGAGATAGCAGCGAGCTGATTGCTACTATATGTATTTTCCTACTGCTAGTGATCTAGTGCAAACACCCAGTGCAGGGAATGATAAATAAATACCAGACATCAGCTCCTCCTCATTGGCTGAATCTGGTTGTTGAGAGTCAGGATGGTAGGTGCTACACGAAGTTTGCCAAATAATAAGAAACTAGCCAGTTCAGCTGGCCGGTTCAGATGGCATATGTGACCTATCTACACCCGCAATGTAAGTTCTATGACGGGTTTTTCCAGTTTGCAAGTAACGTGACTTAAGTGCAACGGCAGCGCAAGTTCTCGGACCGCCAGTGCCATTTACTCTTTCGGGTTATCCCAGCAAAGTCCGTGGAGTCATTCGTGGAGAGGCAACGGAAAGCAGGGTGTGAGGTGAGGTCGTGCGACACTGTGTCATCCCGTCATGTCAACCACTACCGCAGCAATCCGGGGCTCTACACCTCTCAGCTGACCAACTTCCAGGAGGACTGTGTGCTTTGCCGCCGTGAGGACTCCTTGTCGTCGCCACCGTCTGCGTAGGGTGTTTCTGCAGCAATACCAACATATTTGTTCCTGGTGATCCATTGAAATGTACCGGGATTATACATTGACTAATTATACATCTGACCCAATTTACTCGTTCCTTTTTGTCGGTTCGCTTGTGGGTTGACTTTAGGAGGCACAACTGTAAAAAAATGTGAGAAGAAAAGCAAAACAAAATTGTGGTTACCGATTGCTGTTGACTTGTTCGTTGGTTCCAGTGCACAAAGCATTTATCTGTGTGAATGGTTTATTTGTGCATACTTGATGACTGGCTCATGTCATGTCGATATTTTTGTGACTATTTGTGTGGATGGGGGATGTGTTGGTTTGCTTGTGCATAGTCCGATGACTGGTGACTGTCTGTCTCCGTATGGTTCTGGCTGTGATCCTGTTCAAAGTTTCTAGTGGTTGTGTACAAGGAAAATACACAGGAGCTCTCGGGTGCTCCGCACCCCTATATGAAAAATATTCGTAAAAAATTTCCAAAAAATCAAAAAAATCCAAAATTTCGGGATGTCAAACCTGGTTTCTCAATCTACTTCCGTGTGAAATTTCGTGAAAAAATACCAAAAAACGTATCCGTGGCTTAGGAATTACTGCCCGGAAAAAAATGTACCCAAACAGTGTTTTGCTATACATAGGAATTTTTTGTCTTTTTTGCCGCGAATACGTTTCCTGGTATTTTTTCACCAAATTTCAAACGGAAGTACATCGGGAACCCACATTTGATATCCCGAAATCCCAGTTTTTTTTCTCAAATTTCTCGGTATTTTTTTTCCTGGTATTGTACGTATAGGGGTGCGGAGCACCCGAGAGCTCTAAATCCTCGTCCTTGTGTACAAAGCTTATATTATTTTTTCGGTTATGCTTGCATGACATGGAGATATTTATGTTCTCAGTATTCAAAGTTCTCACCGACACCGTGAAAAGAAATATTTGGAGGTCTGTTATTGTGCTTGAGCGAAGGTTTTGAGCGGTTTGGATTTCAATCCTGAATCAAGCAACCAGAGGTGTACTTGGTGGCGGTTTGCAGTTGCAAATGCAATGAATCAAATACTTCCATTTGGTCCCAAATGCGATGACAAATTTAAGGCGGGACATTTGTTTCATGCACAGGTGATTTCCAAGAACAAATTAACAGTTGGCCATACGGATGTCAATCGAGACAATTCACTGTTCACTGATCATGAAAAGAGGGGAAAAAAGAAGATTAGATTAACATTAGGTACTAATAAACACAATACAAGATTGCCAAGACAGGTTACAAATCAGAAAAAGGAACACCTACATGCAACTCATTACTCATAGTATCGCCTCGGCGACGAAGCATTTTTATTGCCGTTCAAATACATATTTCACAGAATACACGCGGTTGGAAGGATGAGGTGTTCATGTTCCACAGAATATATGCACTAAGAATTAACTGACACTTTTATACACGGAGAATTGGCACTCTTCCAGACCCCCACAAATCCATCTCGTACAGGGCCTAGCGACGGCATCGGAGAACGGGGTGGCGATGAGATTGGCATCGGGAGGGGCCATTGGGGATTTGGGGGAGAGAGGCGGTCAACGGAGAAGGAGAGATGTGAGGACTTGGAGGAGTGAGAGATGGATTCAAGGGGAGAATTCGGGCGCTGGATTTCTCTATTTCTTCACCTGCACAAAATATATAAAAAAGCAGTCATAAAATAATAACTTAGTTTTCTTTTTGTGGGGAAGAAAAAAACTTCGTTGAGCATATGGAAGCAATGAAGTTGATCCTAACAAATACTACTCACTAGTATTGATTTGCTATGGTGCAGCAACATATAAGGGTTGAATGAACGAACGGATATGGCATCTCCATCAACCGCCTTAATATTTGGAACTAATTAACGTGTGGACAAACAGACATTAATTAAGCATAAGCTGCGTACGTATGTACTCCCTCCGTTCCAAAATAGATGACTCAACTTTGTACTAACTTTAGTATAAAGTTGGGTCATCTATTTTGGAACGGAGGGAGTACCTCGCACCCTTTCCGCAGCAGCTCCTTTAGTGTGATGTCATCGTCAGAAATCTGGTCCATATACTTCAGCTTCAGGTGACCGAGGGATGGAAGGTGCAGCAACACCTCGGGGAGCTTGCTGATCTTCTCCCACAGCCAAAGTGTCAGGTGGGAGAGCTTTGGCATTGTCCCTTCCTCCATCCTCCACTCATGGGTGAAAATTTTTAAAAGTTTTAACTCTTGCAGCTGAGGAAACCCTTGGGCAGAGCAGCACATGGTCTGGCCTTTGTACCCACTCAGCTCCAACACCACAAGACAGGGGAGTTTCTCCAGGATCAGCATTGGGTCTTGTTTTATGACATAAGCATCTAGAACAAGACGACGTAAGCTTTGTGGGAACTCAGCAGGCAGCTTATCGAGCACATCAAATTGGTGGAGACTAATATCAACCAGGTGAGGCATGTTTGCAAATATGTTGACCACCTCCGCTGGTATATTGGGGTACATCGACAAGGAGAAGGTTGTTAGTTGATTCATCTGGCCCAAGAAAATCATCATGTCATGACAGCGGAAATCAGCGCCAACAGGATCAAGATCCAACACAAAGCTCTGTAGCTCTTTCGGCTGCAGTCGCACAATCCTTGTAGGTGGTGGTGGAGAAAAATTTCTCACACTAGAAAGGTAAACATGCCTTAGAGTAGAGATATCCCAGAAAGAGTTTGGTACTTGTGAGTCCAATGCCCAGTTGAATCTTGACTTCAATTACGTGCCCTTGACTTCTATAGTTTGCAAGTAGAGGAGTTTTCCAATTGAAGAAGGGAGCGCCACACCTTCACAATATCTCAACGTAAGCAATCTTAGGTGAATGCACCCACCAATTACACTAGAGAAATCCTTTAGTGTTGAATCTTGAATGCAAAGGACTCTCAGGAATCTCATCTTAGGAAGGGACACTGATTCAAGTTTAAAGCCAAGCAGACATCGGACATTAGGCGTTGCAGGTAAAGTCTGATCACTCAAAGTTTGAAAACTCAAACGATAGGATATCAAGTTATCGGACGATGATGATGATGATGCACTAGCTAGCTTGGCCTGCAATTTTTTTTAGAGTGCACCACATCTCAGAAAGAAGCTAGCCACATATAACTACATATAGTAAAATAAAAATGAAATCAATTAATACAAAGGAGATCAGGAGACAAAGCCTGACCTGCAGTTTTCTCGATGACATTAAGAAAACCTTCTTGTCTTGCTTCGTCCGTGCACCAGTCATGTAGAATATCATGAATCTTTATACTCTCTATCCATCCATGTGCCGTACTTCTGCAAACAACTTGGACCAAGCTTCTCTGAGCCAACTCGGTTACATAATTCCGTGCTGTTTCTTCTAGTATATGCTTGGATTGATGTGGAATGAAGCTTTCTGCTATCCATAATTGAATAAGATCCGACACAGATATTACATAATCCTCGGGGAAAGCAGCAAGAAAGAGTAAACAAGCTTTTATGTAATGATTTGGCAGGTCCTTGTAACTACGAGCCAACATGTTTCGCATCATCTGTCCATTCTTGGTTGACGGCCAATCAGACAGTATATCAGACCATGTTTTGGCATTTAGATTCTTTGATAGATAACCCCCCAAAATTGCAAGTGCAAGTGGCAATCCATCACATTTCTTTGCAAGCTTTTTCCCAAGTTTTTCAAACTCCTCCACATCACGTATGGCAGATCTTTTGTATGGTGGTAAAGCTTTGCTGCTAAAAAGTTCCCAACTTTTCTCTTCATCTAACTTCTTCAAATAATGAACATGGGTTGGCATCTGAACATGATTTGCAACATCTTCCTTTCGTGTGGTTAACATTACCCTACTACTATTAGTTGCATCTGGAAAAACTTTAACCCTTTTATTTAGTTGCTCCCATGTATCTGTTTCCCACACATCGTCGAGAACTACTAAGTATCTTCTTTGCAACAGAAAATCATGGATCTTTTTTTCCCCACCTCATACTCATTCATTTTATCAATTGACTCATCTCCGCTGCCCATTATTTGTTTGAAGATATCCTTTAGTAAATCAATGCCCTTGTACTTTTGAGATACAGTCACCCAAGCAATTTCCCCAAAGTGTTCTTTGACTCTAGATGAGGTGTAGACTTTTCTAGCAAGTGTTGTTTTCCCAGCCCCACCCATGGCAACTATGGAGACAACACTGAGGCTAAGATGGTCTCGAGTGTCAACTAACTTTTTCACTATTTCGTTGTATTCCTCCTCGAAACCAACAAGGTCAATATATTCAAAGCTTTGGTGCATAGGACCATAGTCTTGTTGGAACTCATCATTAACATGAGCATTCTCCACTGAACCATTCCCCAAATCAATTATTTTCAAACGGTTTGCACTCTCAAATATCTCAGATATCTTCCTTCTTACACGTTTGATCTCGACACCAACTTTGTGAAGGGTACTTAAATCACTTGGTAGACGAGCATACCTTGCAATGGCGCCCATGAATCCCTTCTTCAATCTGTTTCTCTTGTGCATGTGGTCTGCAGCTTCGATGACATTCTCAGCCTCATACGCCGCGTCTCTGATCTGGCTCACCAAGACAGCAACACCCGAAACTCCCATCCTTCGTTTGCTGTCGGCGTCCCTAAGGAAGCCTTGCAGCCGCTTGAGCTCATCTTTCAGGAACTCCACTTCAGTGCTGACGCCACACAGCAACGTGGTCTCCTGAAGCGCAAGGGTACTCACGTTGCCGACCACCGCGCTGACGGCCGACTCGGCCATTACAGGCGATCGCTCCTCTCACAGATGGATGGCTAGGGGTGATGGAGTGGATGGAAGAACATATGCATCCGTGGCTGATCAGGAACGATATGGTGTTTGGGTTTGCATTTGTTTCGTGCTTCGGCTTGCAGATGGACGAGAGCAATGCTTGTGTGTATGTAAGGGAAAAGAAACGGAGGACACGGCAGGAATGTGCTATGCTTCCGAGGAGGGCTAGCAATAACCTTCTGGGGGGTGGATGGAATATTGCAGCCAGCTTTTGCTTTTGCTGTGTGGCTGGCATCGATCCATGCAATGCAAGCCGCTTTGGGTTTTGTGACAGATCGAGCAAAGCAAAGCACATCACGCATATATGCTTTGCTCTGATCTATCCATGTCAAGCATGTTTTCATCTTTTTGATCTTTTTTTTTCGTGCTTCGGCTTGCATGTATGCTTTGATTTGATCTTTTTTTTCCTTTCATTTCTGAGAAATTATCACGTCTATATGTTCTGCTCTGCTTGGTCCATGTACAAGTCATTTTCAAGCATAATTTGAGTTGGAGAGGAGAAGAGACCGCACTCGTGCATGGTTCCCTGCGTCGAATTTACTTTGCCAAATCGATTGATCGGCCAACAAGAGAGGATGATTTCCTTTTTGTTTTCAAGAAGGGGTGTAGCCCAGCCTCTGCATCAACTGGGGCGTCTTTGGTTCTTGTAGCAACTTTTGCATGCATTGCATGCTTGACCGAGTTGGGTCTGGCCGAGGGAAAACACCCTCTAGTTTACGTGGGGCGTAACGAAAGGTGGTCTGTTCGGTTGCCTATTTGTTTGGGCGAAAACACAAGGCATGATGTTTGGTTTCATGCAAGGCGTATTGCCTGTCAGGGGCGGATTTAGCATACGGGCACCACGGGCACGTGCCCGGGCTCGATGCCAACGCGTATATGAGCTCAACGAGTTCCCACATCGATCAAAGTCGCCACTGTTGTCTGGTAACCTCTTCGGCGAGGTGATGAGGTTACCAGCACAAGGGGCGTGTAGAACAACCCAAAGACACACAAAAGATATCTATTAACACCGTTCTAAACCATAGCAAGCACTTTTAAACATAGTACCACACTTAAAGATAACAGTTTTCGAGCAAAGCAGTACACCATAGTAGACACTAAACCAACTAGAGCAACGTAGAGCTGTCCTAGACGTTCACGGCGAAGGTGTCGTCGTGCCTACCGCACTTGGTCACCACCTCAATGTCATTGTCGTTGAAGACAATGACCTTGAGCGTGTCGGGAATCAACAACTTGAAGGTCACAATGTACGTGATCTTGATCTGGTGGACAGTGGCGAAGGTCGCCCAACCTTGATCGAGGGTTTCCATGGCGGTGTTCGTCTTTAGCTTGAACTCCATCGCCACGGCCCGGAAGTTCTTGGTAAAGTCTAGGGGCATTGGTATGCACTCGAGCTTCGGGGCAAGGATCACCTTGCAGAAGTGAGTTGGCCAACCCTCCTCATGGTAGTGCCCGTAGTTCCGGCGCTTGCCACTGGGGGGGAGGGGGGCTCCTCCACCACGAGGTCGTCGTCCATGCGTGGCACCACCTCCCCACCCTTGTCCATGGGTGGCACCACCTCCTTGCCCTTGTTCTCTGTCTCGATCTATGTTATGAACAACACAAAGTTCATGGCGTTATGAAGAGCACAAAGTTCAAAGATTGGTCGGTATTAACACCTAAAGACCCTATATTTAACCAGCTTAAGGGTCACTACTTACCCACAACCGTACTCAGTTAACCCTCTCTCCTCTCTGTCAATCACTCACTCTTCCTCCTACCAACCGCCATGAACTCCAACTCCAACCCCAACCCCTTCCATTGGGGCATTGGATGGAGAAGGCTTTCTTACTCGGGTGCTCGCTTAGTGATCGCACAAGTTCGAGAACACCATTGAAGTGTGCTTGAACTTCAGCAGCGTCGAAGACATGCACAAGGAGGCAGACGCTGTGATCAAGAAGGTGACAGCGGAGGAGTTGAAGATGCTGATACGTGACCCAGTGAAGGGTGCTATGTCAGTCGACATCCTTCGCTGGGCCATGAATCAGGCCGACTCCGGCCATGCTGGACAGAGGGCACGGTGGGCCAAGTACACTGCTCCTGAAGACCAACGCGCCGCAGCATACTGGAATAGGATTGGTGGCGCCAGAGGTCATAGGTTTGGAGCCAGAGGAGGAAGAAGAAGCAGTGGAGATGGGGGACAGGGCGCCGGAGCCAGGCCCCCGTGATTTGCCAACCGGTCTGGACTCCGGCGAGGACGACGAGACGGTGGTACAGCCAGAGGACAAGAACAATGCCAATGGACCCCGCCGCTCCAACCGCCTCTAGGGTCGACGGGGCCAAGGTTTTAACTGTGTAAGTTTAACCCACAATCCCGATTTCCCTTGTACTCGATCCCAATCGAAACCCTAAAATCTATGGCTACTTAGTTATTATCGTCAAGTTATGGTCAATCCTATAGCTATTTACCCCAATTCCCTATTTCCCTAGGACGAGGATCAAATCTAAACATGAATCGCATGCGAAATAGTAGGTTAGGTGGTGAAAATACGGCTTAACGCCATTGTCGAAGTGCTGCGGGTGATGTTGCTAACGCCGGTGACGTCCGGCCGGTGGTCCCCTTGCTGATCTTCGATCCGCTAATCGCCGCCGTCACCGGTGTGAGAGTGGAAGAGTGGAGAGAGGGAAGAGAGAGCAGTGAGGGTAATTACTGTCGGCGCTTCGGGGAAACAACACGGCTTCTCGAGCGTGGCTCCTCGCGTGTAGCCGCCGCCACCAACGTGCATCTCGCGGGCCTGGCTCTGAAAACACTGCCGATTTAGACATTTCTAGCGGGCAACTGCTTTAAGTTTTGCGCGATGCAGACCCAGCAATGAAAGGTGACAACCAAACAATTAATTTTCGTCTCGCACGGGCTTGATTGGCCTCTATACGGGCTACCAAACACACCCCTGATGCACACAACCATACAGAGAAGAGAATACACCACTCAATCTGGTCGATTGATTTGATCCATCACAATCAAGCTAGCCCTTGACGGAGATGGAGAAAAACAATGAAGATATGGCGCTGACGGCCATTGTGATGCCGGATGGACAGTGGAGGACTACCAGCTGATGGTGGTGGAGTGCGATCCTTAATTTGAACCGCCGATTCCACGAGCCCGTAGCGAGTCGGAGACCAGGCGTTGTATACTGCAGCAAACTGAACCCATACTGTAGAGAACCAGATTGCAGCAAAACAGCACTATAGCGAACGTTTTAGAAAAAAAATGTGTACATTTAAAAAAACATCTTTGGAAAAGTGTGAGACTTTTTTTAAATATTGTGAACATTCTTTGACATTCCAATTTGAGAAAAACATGAACCAATTTGAATTTTCCTGAATTATTTTGGAAAAGCCAACATTTTAAAAATACGAACAAATAGGGGTCGGCCCAATAGAATTACTCTTGTGCGTTTCTGCACCAACAGGGTCTGACAAATTGGTGCAGAAACACCAATAAAATGAGCGTGTCAAATCAAAATCATTTTATTGAGGAGTACTTTTTGCAAAGATCATTTTCACCTCCCCAGGTTACGATAAGTGGCGCATTGCATCTCTGCCTCTTGTCGCAACATGAGAGTTTTTTATTTTCTTCATAAATTCTTTTATTCAAAATGTATTATCTTTTAAACCATGCGTCTAAATCTTGAACCGTTTATACCGTTGGATTCCTCGCGTCGAGATCTCCAAAACTAGATCCAATGTTGATAGGTTTCAACAAACTTCTTTTTTCATAAAAAACCGAACGAAAAAGACTGAACTGAGAGCATGTTTTTCCCTTTCCGAAGAGGCACGAATAGGCACAATTGTACCTCCACGACAAATAAATCAGTGCCTCCTACAGAAAAAAACACATTTTTTTCTCTTTTTTTAAGGCACGACTGTACCTCTGGTGGAAGGAAAAAAAAGTGTTTTCCGCAGAAGCAAATCCGTGCCTACATGAGAGGTAAATCCGCTATTTTTTCCTTTAAATTGGAATGTCAGAAAACGCGGCTTTTTTTTTAGCTTAGGGCCTCATGGCGACTCAGATCGGGCATCTCAACCCACCAAATCTAGGATATACTGGACACCCATCCCTTGTCGACTCACCTCTCCAAAAGAAAAAGAAAATTCCCAGCCGTCTCCCCTCTGCTCTCTCCTTGTCATGGGGACGCCAAGCCGCGCGCCCGCCGCCGGCGAAGCCCCACCCCTGCCGGCCGCGGAGAGCACCGAACTCGTCCGTGTCGTCCCACTCCTCTTCTCTCTTAACCTCTCCTACTGACAACAGATTTTAATGGTGCCACGGTGGTGGTGTGCAGGATCTCCTCGTCAGCCTGAAGATGCCCGCGGACGGAGACCTCGACAGGACCTCGCGGATGCGTTCGATCTACGGACCCAGCGGGCTCTCGGTACTGCTACTGTTAGTCTGTTATTACTGCTCCTATGGCCATGCCATAGGACGTTTAGCTGTTGCTGTCATTGTCCATACTCTGAATTTGAGTGCAGAATGGACAGGTTTCCAGCAAAATTATAAATTCGTAGCATAGGACAACGTTGCCGACCGAATTAGAGCTGCCGCATCGCGTAGTTCAGAATGGTCGAAGCATATCCAAACCAAAATTTGTTAGTTATTCAGTTTTTGGCTTGACTTCATAAAATACATATTGTCAGTCTTACACTTACTTGATCTGCATTGCTGCTTGGGAACACTAGCAATTTGATCAATGTCTTCCCATCACATATTGGTGGGAATATGCCCTTTCTGAACACTAGCATCAATATGATCAATGTCTTGGGTCACATGTATGGTGCAATCTCTTTGCTCAACAACATGCTTACGCTTGTGCTTTGCTTTCCAGGTGCTGTTTTGTTCGAAGATTTCAAAGGACAATTAAAGGAAACCTCACTTGATGAGACCTCTCCCCTGCTGCCCTGCAGTAATTGTGTCACCCAGGTCGTGCAGCTCGTCAAGATCGAGTGCGGGGCAAGTCTCCAGCAAGGTAATCTAAAGATACTCTTCGCTCTCCCGTCATTATGATATCAAATCAACCGCCGATTTGTGCAAGGGAAGTCAAACAGTTGAGGCAATTTTGATGCAGAGACAGCTAATGTGAGTCAGGTCAAGTGATTGTTCATTGACCATGAGAAAAGCAAAAAAAAAAAGTCACAAATACAGTGCTAACGTAATACTCTTGTAATCTGCTTAATAAATCAGAAAACAAATAAACACGTACACAGACAGGCCACAACATCGTTGAGATGAAGAAACATTTTTACTAGGGATCGAGATTACATTCAGGCAAATAGGTACACATGTTTAATTGAGGGAGGTACATAACGAGACTTAATAAATGCTTTGGGAATTAGGAAATATTCGATATTTCCCGTCTTGCAAGGACGGTGTACTATCGCATTGCTGGGGACACGTCCCTTGGACCTGCACAAAATGTACAAACAAGAAAATAGCTTAGTTGAGAGTGAGTCATCAAGTTGATCCTGCACTAATTAACGTTTATTCACAGATTGAAGCAAACAAATAATATTTGATTGATTTGTTGTGGTTCAGTGTATATACAGTTTGAGATTTGCTCAGCGAACATGCTGAGCATTAAACGACGACAAACCGCCTTCATATTTCGAACTAATTTACATGTGCGGACAGACATGAGCATATATAGTTTGTGGCAACGAAATTGGAAGACGAGCCAGATTGATGGAAAATAATTTAGCTAAGCTTAAGTTGTTACAACATACCACACATCCTTTCTGGAGCAGCTCCTTTAGTGCGCTGTCATTCTTCAGAAATAGGGCACCTTGGCCAATGTCACGTGACTGAGGTACGAAAGGTCTAGCAATTCCTCGCAAACCTTGATCATCTTCTCGCACTTCCAAAGTGTCAGGATAAATAGTTTAGACATTGTCCCTTCCTCTGTCCTCCACTCCTCGACAGAAAACCTGTGAAGTTCCAACTCTTGCAGCTGAGGAAACCCTTGTGCAGAGCAGGACATAGTTTTGCCTTCATACCCCTCTAATTTTAGCACCACAAGACATGGAAGCTTCTCTAGGATCGGCATTGGGTCTTGTCTAATGACATCGGCATATAGAACAAGACGCCGTACACTTTGTGGGAACTCATGAGGCAACTTATAAAGCACACCTAATTGGCCAAGAGTAATATCAACAAGGTGAGGCATGTTTGCAAATAGGCTAAACGCCTCGGTGGGCATGGGGAATATCATCAAGAATAAGGTTGTTAGTTGATTCATCTGGCCCAGGAAAATAACCATGTCATGAAAGCACAATTTAGTGCCAACATGTGAAATACCCAAAAACAAGGTCTGGAGCTCTTTGTGATTCAGCCGGACACTCTTTGCAGGTGGTGGTGGTGGTGAAAACCCATCATCAAGGTATACATTCCTTAGACTGGGGATATCCCAGAGGGACTTTGGTACTTGCGATTCCAAGTATGAGTCCCTTAGATCTATAGTCTGCAAGTATAAGAGCTGGCCTATTGAGGAAGGTAGAACCACACCTCCACAGTTCCCCAACCTAAGATATCTTAGGTGAATGCAGCCACTGATCACTGTACAGAAATCTTTCAATGTTGACTTTTCAATGCTAAGAACTCTCAGGAGCCTCAGTTTAGGAACGGATGCTGATTGAAGTTCAAAGCCAAGCAAAGTTCGGATATTAGTTGTCCCAGGTAAAATCTCATTACTCAAACTCTGGAAACTAGAGCGATAGGAAACCAAGTTATTTGATGATGCTGGCTCGCCAACTTGGCCTGCATTTTTGTAGAGTGCTCCACATGTCAGAAAGAAGCTAGCCACATATAAGGACATATACTAAAATAGAAAATTGAACTATATAGCAAGAGAGCAGGAGATGAAGCCTGACCCGTAGTTTCGTTCTTCACATCAAGAAAACCATCTCGCCTTGCTTCTTTTGCACACCAATCATGTAAGATATCATGAATATTTATAATGTCAATACATCCATGTGCCCTGCTTCTTTCAATAACTTCTACCAAGCTTCTCTGGGCCAACTCGGCTACATACATTTCCGCTGTTTCTTCTAGCTTATGGTTTGGTATCTTAGGAATGAAGCCTTCTGCTATCCATAATTCTATAAGTCTTGGCACATCTATTATGTAATCCTTGGGATAAGAAGCAATATAGAGGAAACAAGACCTTAAATAATGATTTGGCAGGTCCTTGTAACTCCGGCCCACAATGTTCTGCACCATCTGCCCATTTCTGGTCGATGGCCAATCCAAGAGTATATCAGACCATTCTCGTGCATTTAAATGTTTTGATAGGTAACCCCCCAATAGTGCAAGTGCAAGTGGTAACCCATCGCATTTCTTTGCAAGCTTTCTGCCAAGTTTCTCAAACTCATCCACATCATGTATGACGGACCTTTTGTATGATGGTAAGGCTTTGCTACTCAAAAGTTCCCAGCTTTTTTCTTCATCAAGCTTCTTCAAAGGATGAACGTGGGTTGGTATTTGAACATGATTTGCAATGTCTTTTCGTGTGGTTAAAAGTATTCTACTACCATTGGCTGCATCTGGAAAGGCTCTAATGCTTCTGTTTAATTGCTCCCATGTATCTGTTTCCCACACATCATCAAGAACCACTAAGCATTTTGTTTGCAACAAGAAATCATGGATCTTTTGTCCCACCTCATACTCATTCAATTTATCAATTGACTCGTCTGTACTCCCCATAATTTGTTTCATAATTTCCTTGAGTAAATTGTTAGAAATATAATTGTGTAGAGATAAGCGTAACTAGAGATAAGATAGGTTTAAACAATGTCTTGCATTGTACTCCAAGTCTCTCTCCTTATTTAAGGTCTCTCTCGACGGCCTCAACAATACATATACAGCTCCATGGCTCTGACAGTATCTGCTTCAAGCCGGGACGAGCCGGCACGAACTTCGTCAAGCCATGGTGACCAGGCCCAGCCGCAACGACGACGCTCGCGTCCCGATCACGGGAGGGCGCAACCTCCACGAGCAATTGACTCCACGCGTGGAAACTGCACCGCGTATTCCCGCAGCGGCTTCGCGTCCGTGCGCTCCGGCCGTGCGACCTCGATCCAATCTACATCGGCCTCTTCTGCATCGGGACAATGCTGCGTCGATCTGGCCGATAGGTCGGCCTCGTCCAAGCGATCGCATCTCCGACACTAGGGTCACGGCCACAGGTGCGCGTCGCCCGCAAGGCCAAGTGCACGTCACGGCCATCCAAGGGAATTTTTATGGTATGCATGCTTGCAGCCTGACGGTGACTGCAAGCCGGGCTACCACCTCGGCTTTGACTCGTCCGTTACGCAGCAGCAGTGCCACAGATCCGAAGGCCGCAGCAACCACGCACGCGAACGACGTGCGACCTCCATCGACTGGACTTGCTGCACCCTTCACCGACATACACGAGTACCAGACGATCTACTCCTCTGCCAACCCTGCCATGCTCCAAGCTGTATGACCATGCCAGCTTCAGCACAGCACGGCATCGACACATCATCGCCACGAGGAACGCCTTCAGGCGATGCATCATCGTCGACATGCCACTGCATCGTCGACACTTCATCGTCAAGGTCTTCATCAACGTAGTCTTCATCACCATCACGTCAGCACACTGCCGCCGCCTCGTCCACAAGATGGACACCTAGCATCCTCTGATAGACTTTTCTGCAAGACGCGACTCGACGACGGCAATGACCGCGTCACGACGACGGCATCGACCGCGCCATCCATGACTGCATCGACACTGCGTCATTACAGTGACGACCCTAAACAACCACACGGTTCTGGCAAAACCGATGTGTGCTCGATGGGCTTCCTTCGGTCTTGGCAAAATCGGTGGACTCATCGCTGACGGCACCCTCTGACATCCGCAAGGTGCATCGTCCATGTCTGCAGCTCCGCCATAGCGCATTTTTTTGCGCCTCCGGCTTTATGTGGCTTCATCATCCACGACGACTACACCATCGACCACGACTACCTCGACATTAATGGCTACGTCTGCAGCAACTCATCGGCGCAACTTCAGTCAACAGCGTCCGCCTCGTCACATGCGTCCACGATACTCCCGCTGTGACTGCGGGAGGGAATAGAGGAGAAGAAGGGAAGGCACCAGAAGGGGACGCAGTCACCGCCCTAGGTGCCGACTCATCAGCCATCAGAGACCCAGTTGATGATGGTGCAGCGGAGAAGAAGACAGAAGCGCAAGACTTCAAATTCAGTCGCAATTGTTCGCTTCACTCCCGCTACGACTGAGGGGGAATGTTAGAAATATAATTTTGTAGAGATAAGCGTAACTAGAGATAAGATAGGTTTAAACAATGTCTTGCATTGTACTCCAAGTCTCTCTCGTTATTGTACTTCTATATATACCCCTACGAGGGTTAGATCAATACAACATACAACACAATATCCATCCATCCTATAATTTCTACATAAATCAATGCCTTTGTATTTTTGAGATACAGTAACCCAAGCAGTTTTTCCGAAGTGTTCTTGGACTCTACATGACATGAAGACTTTCTTAGCAAGTGCTGTTTTTCCTGCCCCACCCATAGCAACTATGGAGATAGCACTAAGACTCTTCTCTGTGTCAACTAATTTCTCCACAATTTCTTCGTACTCACCCTCAAAGCCAACAAGTACAATTTCTTCATAGTTTTGATGCTTAGGATAATCTTGTTGGAACTCATCATCAACATGAACATTTTCTATTGGCATATTCCCCAAACCAACTATTTTCAGGCGGTTTGCACTTTCAACTATCTCAGAAATTTTCCTTTTGATGCGTTCAATTTCAACGCCAACATTGAGAAGGGTAGTCAAATCACTTGGTAGGCGAGCGTACCTTGCAACGGCACCCATGAATCCCTTCTTGAGCCTGCTTCTCTTCTGCATGTGATCCACCGCTTCAATGGCATTGTCAGCCTTATAACCCACATCTCTGATCTGGCTGACCAAGACAACAATATCTTCATCTCTGAGCCTCCGCTTGCCGTCGGCATCTCTAAGGAAGCCTTGCAGCCGCTTGAGCTCATCTTTTAGGGACTCCACTTCAAGGGTGACTCCACACAGGAGTGTGGTCTCCTGAATTGCAAGTGTGTTGACATTGCTGAGCACGATGCTATAGGCTGACTCAGCCATTAGTAACTCCTCCTTGTTGTCTCTGGCTCTCAGATCGATCAGAGATAAGTGGATAGAAGAATGCAGATGTGTGTGGCTTAGGATGGCATGGTGTTTGGCTTCTTATTGCTACTTGTTTCCAGCTCGATGACAGAGAAGAGAGCAGAGCATATAGTATATGAAAGATTGGATCTGAGAAAGGAGCATGGCAACAATGCTTTGTTCTCCCGCAGCTGGAACTTTAGGAACCAACTGATATATTATTTTTTAGAATAGAATCTTTCTTTACTGCCACATGACTGCAAGAATAATTAATAAGCAAATTAAAGCAAAAAAGCTCCCCTCCATGATGCCATGCTTGAGATGGGCAAAAGCTCTTTAATACTCTATAGTTTAGTCTATCTGCAGTGCAAAGGTGAGTTGGACCCCCCCTGACTATCTTATATTGTACTCCTATCTTAGTGGAGGATGTAAACTGTCAAAGTTAAACAGAGAGGGATGCTGCTCTCCTGACCTTCTTGCACTGCATGCCAGAGTGTTGCTTGTGTTCATTGGACAATGTTTAATTTTGTAGAGAACAGGATATTCAACTCTGTTTTCTCAATATTCCAAATCTGTTGCGAACTCTGAATTTTACATCGCAGATCCATACATACAGACTTGAACAAAAATATGTGGCTTTTTTTATACTGAAAACGTATGTGTTGCAGTTGATTGACGCCTGGTGGAAGCAATGTGAAAGGTTTTCAGAGTTGTCTCAGTTGATCAGACCCAAACAAGCATAGACACCGGTAATTAACCATGATTCAGGGTACATGATTCAAATGTTTCCTGCAACCGAATCCCCATAATTTGAACAGAGGGAACAGACAAATGAAAATCTGCAATATCTGAATACACGTAGATGCAGTCGCTCATTTGTGCAGATTTCAGTCATGGGCGTGCATAGAGGCCAAACAACCACAAACCAAATCATCAGAAATACATGGAGGTGCATTCTCCGTTTTCATCATTACAATAGATTCAGGCAACACTGATCTGTACGTATACAGATACGTGCAGGAAGCTTATCCTGCAGAACGGAAAGAGGAAGAGAATACCTCAGAATTAGGAATATACAGTTTAATAATTAATCAATTTTGCTGCATGTAAATTCACTGGCTGTCACCTAGAGCATGTTGTTAATGCAGCAATCATTACTTGAATCAGTTAGTCAGTGCTGCACTTTCCTGAAGATGTCAGTTCTTCAGGCAAGCATTGCGTAGGCAATTACTTACAAGAGATGAATCAGAGGGTACGTTGTATTTTCGGGAGCAGCTGCTATCTTCTGCTAGTTTTCATAATCAACTACAATGAAGCTAGCTCTTGCTTCCTGCAGATATTTTACATCCATCTCCAGTTTGTAAGGCTGGTTGTAATGGGAGTATCATAGCTAGTATCATGCATGCCAACTAGGCAACTTTGATGAGGTGGCATAGAATTAAATGAAGTAAGAGAGAGTTGAGTATCATATCATGATACCATATCATAATAAATGCTACACTAGTATGTGTCATGCATGGCAATAAATAAAGGCATCTATGATACTACCATATGATACTATGCATTAGGGAGGTAGTATCATACACTAGTATCATATGCATGGTACTAACTTATGATACAACCCATTACAACCAGCCTAAGGTAAAACTAATCAAACAAAGGAGATAACTCCAAGAAAAATCTGCAGCAGGGGCCATTAAAGCACAGCCATGGCATAGCTATTCTAGCAATAAGAGCTTGCATGACTTCAGGACCAAAAGTTCTTAATCCCATCGAAAACTACTCCCTCCATCCGGAAATTTCTCTGACAAGTATTTCCGGACAGAGGGAGTACATTCCTGAAGAATACACTTGTCAGAATTACTAACCTAAAAGGAAAGATGTTCAAAAAAAAAAGTGAATTTCTTACTTAAAAACAATAGCTACTATAGTACTATGCATAATACGAGAATAAGCCATTGTTACTTCAAAATCATGCCTATTCTTCAGACTTTGTAGGTATGATTGATTTTATCCTTTTTCAGGCAAACGGTTTACAATTTTTTGGCGTATACAATTTGTTACCATCCCTTTTTCAGATAAATGATTGATGGTTTGAACCAAGGATCTGCACATGAGTTCAATATATCATCAGCCAAGCATGGCAATTTTGGACACGGCAACACATGAACATCTAACCAATTCATGTCCTGATCGTCAACACTGCACACTCGACAATCTTTGAGAAATAAACTTGATGCATCAGCACCCAAGTATTCATCGATGCATATGGATTACTTACAAGCAAGTAAAACATGGCTCTGTACAATCTAGGAATAAGATCCAATTTTTGGACTGTACATTTTGCACTAGAAATTAACACCTGGAACGGACACTTTTGTACCTGAATGGAAAAAAAAGAAAAAGCAATCAGACCCATCTCCGCCGCCGGGGGAGGAGGCGTTGCCCACCCTCCCGTGCGGTGATAGGCTTAGAGTTTGGGGGAGTCGCAGACGGCCGGCGGTACTGTTGCCGAGGGAGCGGAGGCGTAGGCCAGCCTTTCAGCTCGTCGAGCTCGGGGGAGAGGCGGCCGGCGACCTTGGCACCGGGAATGAAGGTCGGCGTCGTGCAGCGGCTCTCCTAGACCGCCTCAGCTCCATCTCATAGACGGCCGACCGCACCGGAAGACGAGAAGGCGGTGATATTGGCATCGGGATGGCGGATCTTGGACAGAGGAGCTAGGGGACATTGGAGGAGAGAGGTTGTCTCCCATGGCATCGAAGGGAGGGGGAGGAGAAGGAGGGATTTGAGGATTGGGAGTAGGGGGATGGGTTCGTGAATGAATCGGGAGGGATCCGGCAACGAGGGTCTGGTTGAGGTGACAGATTTTTGACGAGAATAAAGATGAATTCCTCGCGCCCCACAGATCTGCAATCGCCCCCTAATTTCCAGCTGCACAAGACAGGGGAGTTTCTCCAGGATCGGCATCGGGTCTTGTTTTATGACTTCAGCATATAGAACAAGACGACGTACGCTTTGTGGGAACTCCGCAGGCAGCCTATCGAGCACATCAAATTTGACGAGACTAATATCAACCAGGTGAGCCATGTTTGCAAATATGTTGAGCACCTCCGCTGGTATATTGGGGTACATCCACAAGGCGAAGTTTGTTAGTTGATTCATCTGGCCCAAGAAAATCGTCATGTCATGACAGCGGAAATCAGTGCCAGCATGACCAAGATGAAACGCAAAGCTCTGTATCTCTTTCAGCTGCAGTTGCACACTCCTTGCAGGTGGTGGTGGAGAAAATTTTCTCTGACATGAAAGGTAAACATGCCTTAGAGTAGGGATATCCCAGAGGGAGTCTGGTACTACCGACGACAAAAATGTGCTTCTGAGATCTATAGTCTGTAAGTAAAGGAGTTTGCCAATAGAAGAAGGTAACGCCACAAGTCCACAATTTGCCAACCTAAGCAATCTTATGTGAATGCACCCACCAATTACACTGGAGAAATCTTTTAGTGTTGAATCTTCAATGCAAAGAACTCTCAGGAATATCAGCTTAGGAAGGGACACTGGTTTAAGTTTAAAGCCAAGCAGACTTCGGACATTAGACGTTGCAGGTAAAATCTCACCACTCAAAGTTTGAAAACTAAAACGATAATATATCAAGTTATCAGATGATGATGATGATGCACCAGCTTGGCCTGCAAATTTATTTAGAGTGCACCACATGTGAGAAATAAGCTAGCCACATATGAAGGGCATATAGTAATATAGAAAATAGAATGAATTAATAGGAAGAGACCAGCAGACGAAGCCTGACCTGCAGTTTTATTGATAGCATCAAGAAAACCATCATGTCTTGCTTCTTCTATGCACCAGTCACTTGCAGTTTCATAAGAATCCTTATTCTCTCTATCCATCCATGTGCCGTACTTCTCCCAACAACTTGTACCAAGCTTCTCTGAGCCAACTCGGTTACATAATTACGCGCTGTTACTTCTAGTATATGCTTTGGTGTATGTGGAATGAAGCTTTCTGCTATCCATAATTGAATAAGGTCTGGCACATATATTATGAAGTCCTCGGGAAAAGCAGCAAGATAGAGAAAACAAGCTCTTAAATAATGATTTGGCAGGTCCTTGTAACTGCGAGCCAGTATGTCCCGCATGATCAGTCCATTCTTGGTTGATGGCCAATCAGAGAGTATATTAGACCATATTTGTGCATTCAGATTTTTTGATAGATAACCCCCCAAAACTGCAAGTGCAAGTGGCAACCCATCACATTTCTTTGCAAGCTTTCTCCCAAGTTTTTCAAACTCATCCACATCACGCATGACAGACCTTTTGTATGATGGTAAAGCTTTGCAACTAAATAGTTCCCAACTTTTCTCTTCATCTAACTTCTTCAAATGATGAACATAGGTTGGCATTTGGACACGATTTGCAACATCTTCCTTCCGGGTGGTTAATAGTACTCTACTACCATTAGTTGCATCTGGAAAAGCTTTAACCCTTTTATTTATCTGGTCCCATGTGTCGGTTTCCCACACATCATCAAGAACTATCAAGTATCTTTTTTGCAATAGAAAATCATGGATCTCCTTTCCCACCTCATACTCATTCATCTTAGCAATTGACTCATCTGTGCCCCCTATTATTTGTTTCATAATATCCTTTAGTAAATCAATGCCCTTGAATTTTTGAGATACAGTGACCCAAGAAACTGCCTCAAAGTGTTGTTTGATACTAGATGAAGTGTATACTTTTCTAGCGAGTGTTGTTTTTCCCGCCCCACCCATGGCAACTATGGAGACAACACTAAGAGTTATGTCATCTTTGTCAACTAACTTGCCAACTATTTCTTTGTACTCATCCCCAAAACCAACAAGGTCAATATCTTGAAAGTTTTGGTGCATAGTAACATAATCGTGTGGATACTCATCCTCAATATGAACATTTTCTACATCACTAGTGTCCAAATTGATTTTCAAACGGTTTGCACTATCAAATATCTCACCGACCTTCCTTTTTACACGCTGTATTTCAGCACCAATTGTGTGAAGGGTAACCAGGTCACTTGGCAAGCGAGCATACCTGGAGATGGCACCCATGAAGCCCTTCTTGAGCCTGTTTCTCTTCTCCATGTAGTCGGCCGCTTCAATGGCATTCTCGGCCTCGTATGCCGCATCCCTGATCTGGCTGACCCAGGTAGCCACAAGCTCATCTCCTGATCTCCTTTTGGCGTCGGCGGATTTAAGGTAGCTCTTTAGCCACCTCAGCTCATCCTTCAAGAATCCCACTTCAAGGTTGACGCCACATAGGAATGTTGTCTCCTGGACCGCCAGGGTGCTCACGTTGCCGAGCACGGAGCCAATGGCCGACTCGGCCATTAGTTTCTCCGGGCTCTCGCTCTCGGAGATGGAATGCTTGACGTGGGATAAATGGGTGGAGGAAATTAAGCAGGTGTGCCTGACGAGGATTTGATGGCGTTTGGTTTTGTATTTCTTGTTGCTTTGAGCTCGGTTGTGTATATAGCGGAGCTGATTCAGCTCAGCTCATGTATACGTGATGATGGAAATGAAGGAAGGGATATGGTGTGCTTCCGGGGAGGGCTAGATGTTCTTTACCTTTGCCGTGACATGAAGGCAAGGTATTAGTAAGATGCATGCAAAGCAAAGAAGCTCCTCCGCACCTTTGCTTCAGTTGCAGTTTTAGCATCATTCGATCCCATCTGCATGCAGCAACCTTTCCCAAGAGACGCTGTCATCTGTTGGGGGCCATGGCCTTCTCGTGGCGGGCCTCATGGTCTTCTCGTGGTGGGCCTCGTGGTCTCGTGAGAGCGACGCAGATTTGGCCTCGAGCACACACCAAAGCCCACAAATAATAGGCGCATCCCTTCTCCTCTCCTCTCCTCTCCTCCCCTCTTTTCTCATGGAGCCGCCGCCCGCCGGCTGCGGTGTGCAGGATTTGCTCGTCGGCCTGAAGATGCTGACCCTCCTCCTACTCCTGCTGAAATACTGCCGCTATTGCTCCACCGCACATCCTCCTCCTACTCTCAGCTTCCTCCATCGGTGGAAACTGCCACGTGTGATGGGTTGTCTGCTGAATCCTTAGCTATAATGTCCTGGTAGAACGCTTAGAATTAGTGAGTTAGTGTGAGGCCAGTGCAGATTTTGGGGGTACAAATCAACTAATCTGCAGCTGTCCTGCTGCTGGTTACTTGCTCAATGCAAAGTGCCCAACTAAGCTATGTACTAGTACCTCCGTCTCGGTGTATAAGTCATTCGCGTAGTTCTAGGTCGACAATTTAACTATCTAAATATGTATTATATGTGATAAAAAATATATAGTTAGAAACTACATCCGTGTAGAAATCTAGCGATATACCTTTCATGACATATAAAACATATTTAATTCCTCAAATCGATGACCTAAAACTACGCGATTGACTTATACACCGAGACGGAGGTATTATCTCGTCGTAAAGCCGCTAGTCGCTAGTACATCTTTGTTGGTTTGGTTTGTGTGCCACTATAAACATGTCATAGGGGAATCACCGCGCTCTGAATTTGTGCGCCCAAGGGGACCGGATTTCATGGAAAATTTATGAATTCATCTAATGGGACAGTTTGCTGATCCAGAGTTGCAGCATACCTGAATGTCTTTCGGTTTCTGGGTGCCCTGCCTAATTCACAGACTGTTAGTTATTCTTTCTTTGGGCCGACTTTATTATACAGAAATATATTGCAAGTCTTACCTCGTCTGCGTCAGTGCATGGAAGTTGTAGCATTTTCTCCTTCTGAATACTGGATTTTTGCTCATTGTCTTCCGGCAGATGTATGGTCCAGCAATCTCTTTTCTTAACAACATGCTTATGCTTGTGCTTTCTAGGTGTTGTTTTGCTGGAAAGTTTCAAGGAACGACTGAAAGAAACCTTACCGAAAAAGGCTTTCGCCCCACTTTATATATAAAGCAATACGGCCGAGCCGATACAAAGTGATGAGGAAAACCTCCTACAAAGCAGATCAAAGGTAAAACAAGATTACAAGAGTGCCCACACACACCATCAAGACACATCCGAGGCTACTAACTAGAAGATAGACCGTGCCTCAACGAGAAACCACCGGACGTCGATGCAACACACGCACACCAAGTTGTCGCTAGAGAGAAAATCCATGCCCTCTCACTCCGGACCGTGGAGAACCATCCTGCCTGCAGACAACAAGGACCAAGAGCGATGCCCACAACGTCACGTGTAAAGGATAGAAGCTGTCGAGACTTCCCAAAGCCATAGTTGAACGAGCTTCGAGATAGGATCCGAGCTCGCCCATCGATGTCAAAGAAACACAACCGGAGGGCATCTATGCTGCACGACGACACCCCCAAGAGGTTAACGGCGCAACAGGTCACCGCCGTCGAAACTGAAGACACAGTCAAGGATTTTCACGCGGAGCCCTGAGGCAGGGAGAGATACCACAATGACACCCTAAGAGGGACAAGACACCCACAGGCATCGCCACCGTCGGTGGCAAAGCACTGAGCTTTCACCCGAAGACACTCTCACGCCACATCGAAGTACCACGGTCCAAGCCCGCCGCCACCAAAACAAGCCTCGACACCACAATCTCGACGATTCCCCTGCCAAAGCAACGCCATCGCCAGGATCCCCGCCGCCTCGCTCCTCATTGCCCGCACTACCAACAAGAAACGCCACCACCACAGCAAACGCCGCTCGCCAAAGAGTTGACCGCGCAGTCCACCTTCCAGGGCCGCCGCCCTGGCATCCCAGATCTCGCCGCCTCCAAGCCCTGCCAAGCCATCAATCACCACCCACCCAAAAAATGACATGAAAGGAGACGACACCTGCATGGCCGGATCTGGCAGGACCCGACCAGCCCATCCGCGGGCTTGGAGAAAGGAGACGTCTCAACGGCGCAAGCGCAGAGGAGCACCGTGCCCCACAGGGACGCGAGGAAGCCATCCCCGCAATCAGCAAATTAATTTTTTGCCTTAGCATCTTGCAAATTAGTTTTTCCCATGGCAACTTTTTAAGACGATATCATTGCAATAAGCATTTCCCATTGCAATGTCTCCCACAAATTTTATATAGACATTTTTTGCCATGGAAAACTAAAACCATATCTTGCCATGATGACAACTTTTCATAGTGTCTTTGCAATACCTATTCCAAGAAGGTTGCCATGGTTACTAATGTTCTTTTTTGTGCATGGCAAAATTTATGTTCCTAACACTTTACCCTTTCAAGAACATGTAAAACATAATTTGTAGCATGGTAAATTTCCTTTTATAGGAATGGCATTTTTACCTACAATTTTTGCCATCACAAATTTACCTTTTAAATTTTCCATGGAAAATTTACTTTTACATTCATGGCAAATTTAGATTTACCGCATTGGAATTTTTACCTTTCATTTTTCCATCACAAATTTAAACTTTAAATTTTCCATGGAAAATTTATGTTAATTTCCATGTCAAACTTAATTTCACACACATGGCAAATTTATTTTATTACTAATAGCAAATTTACATTTTATTTCCAATGGTAAATTTACACTACGGGCCTGTGAAAATTTTACTTTTTATTTTCCACGACATTTTCATTCATTATGGTCTATATAATACAACAACTTTTTGTGAAAATGAATGGACTAATCACATGGCAATTTGGACAGATTTTTGTTTTCTCTAGGACATCGAAAATGTACTTTCTATTTTGCCACGACAATTCCATGAAATGTGGTACATAATATGGCAATTTTTGTGAAAATGAATGGACCAATCACATGGCAATTTTATGGATTTTTGTTTTCTCTAGGACACGGAAATTTTACTTTTTATTTTGCCATGACAATTTCATGATATTTGATGTACATAATATGGCAATTTATGAAAATGAATAGACCAATGACATTTTTCTTATGTTCTAGGACCTGACAACTATACCTTTTATTTGCCATGGCAATTTCTTGAAATTTGATCTATATAATGTAGAAAATTTTGTGAAAAATGAATGAACTAATCACATGGCAATTTTTAACGAAATTTCGTGCCTTCTAGGACATGGTGAATTTAACTTACATGGAAAATGCACTCTTTTTTTGTATGTACCATTGGTAATCTTTATTATTTTAGACCAATGGCAAAATTTGTGGTAATTTTCTTTTCATAAGTCATGGAAATTGGAACCAATTTTGCTAGGTTTTGTTTGTTCATCTAGGAAAACAATTCTTTTGCTAGTTGCTTTGTGCTCACTTACATACATTTTTCTAGCCACGCAAATTACACAACATGGTACCTTAGTCTGTGTACCGGTCACTAGTGCCATTTTCTGGCCATATTTTTGAAATTTAAAGAAATCGCTGTTCTTTTGAGTCCCATATCATGGCAAAATTTTCACACTCAATTTGTCATGAAGTGTTTTTATTACATCATGGCAAATTATGAACTTTCTGTAATATAGCATTTAACTTTGCGTAAATGTATGGTAGTTTTATTCACTAGAGCATTGCATTTTTATTTAATTTTGTAGCATGGCATCGTTGCTATGGCAATTTCATATATAACTAGATCATAAATGCGCGCGTTGCTGCGCCCGTTCATATTAATAAATAGAGATATACATATACTAATGAATACTTACTTTTATAACTATATATATGAGGTAATTTGTACCACTGCAATAAAATAGGACCTGATAAGTGCCACACGTACATGAACATATGACAACTTCGAACGGTTTTCTTGGCAAGTTTAGTGACTCGCGGATGGCAACTTCCTTTTTAGATGACAAGTTTCATTTTTTTTTTGAGGTTTTCTTTTCGAATGGCAACTTTAGTTGTAAAAAACGTATAAGCCGATGTGTTTCGGGTCACACGTGTGACACTTACGATTTGACATAAAATATGCTTTGTAAGGAAGCAAATTGCAATTCACGGAAAGCCTTTACTCTAGATTAACTAGTTTTCCTGAAACTGCTCGATCAATCGGCTTCCCCAAAATCCGGGATTAATTAATGCACGTCCAACGCTCCACACGTCCTCGCCTAAAACGACGACTATGATCCAAACTAGCCCACGTTAGCTTGAGTGTCCATGAACCCTACCTCCCAATCCTCATTTTCTTCTCTGTTCGTCCACCACGCAGCGAAGAAGCAGCAGGCGCGGCCACCGTGATGGCGTCGCCGGCGCCGTCCATCGCCGATATCCAGGATGAGCTGCTCGAGGACATCTTTTCCCGCCTCCCCACTCCGGCTGACCTCGCCCGCACCTCCACCGCTCGCGCCTCCTTCCGCCGCGTCATTGCCGACCACGTCTTCCTGCGCCGCTACCGCGCCCTCAACCCGCCGCCTCTCATCGGCATGCTCCAGATC